TATATATATATATATAGTGTGTGTGTTTTTATATATATATATATATATATACACACGAATGTATACCGTATTTTAACTACCGATCTGTAGGCATAGGAAGTTGTAAAACGCGCATTTCAACTGTTGGAGAATTAATTTTGTACACTTACTAACGTACGTACAATATTGCGCAGGAAACAATTATCGGCACAAATTCCATGATAATATGTCAAGTATAACCAGATAACGAGTAATCAAATAATGATGATAACAGTATTTTAATATTTCTCTTTCCTCACTATCTTCTTATCATCAGCGATACTATTTCTTTCCTTTCCGTAATTACCAGCAAATTTTTATAACAATGAGTATGATTAATACAAAAATTATTACGATTAGTTTTTTGATTAATACAAAAATTATCACGATTAGTACAAAAGAACTTCAAGCTATTTCGCACCGCATTACTTATATACTTACATGACAATCCTACTTATAAACCACGATAACTTCATCGCGAACTAGAAGTGTTTGCGACAGCGTTTCGCAAACGTCTAACTTACAAGTGCAACAAAGCGTTTCTTTATAAGTGACAACGTTTAACAAATTATTTAAAAAATTGTTCAACCTTCGCTTTCGTTACGTTTGGGTAATTCCCATCAATAATTCGTGCGATAGAAGTAAATTATTACAAGGCTGGTGAAGAAGAAAAACGCCAGAAATATATACAAAAAAAAACGTGTATAAGAAACACTTGAAGAAAATTTTTTTAAATGTTATTGTTTCTTTGAAATTGTCAGATAATGAGCGAGCGAGTCAGTGAATGAGCAAAATTACGCTACTTGTTGAACAAATATCTGGCCAACGCTGCTTTTATTGACACAAGCAATCTGCGGCTAAGTCTGGACATAGGCCCATCCAGCGTCGCGACATCTTATGCAATGTGTGCTGCCTGACTCATTCTTTTGCCGCGTATATGTATATATAAACATCTAATCTATATTAAAAGCGTACTCTCGTGCGCGCATCACAATAAAACTATGCAGCTAAACTCAGCTAAATATAAAGTAACGATTAACTTCCCCATGATATGACGAGCCGTTCGGCATTAAAGAGCGTGAAAGAGATTAAAATAAAGCTGATACGTGCGCACGTGAGCGCGCCACGTACATCTAGACGTGGCATCTCTCGTGCACTACATATCTCTGTAAAAGGACCGACGCGCAGATTGTTCTGTCGGAAATCCGAAAACGGCTTGGCTTGCTAATTAATTGCGTCGTCCCACGCAATTAGTGAGAATTGCGTTCTTCGTTTCGCTCAGTCTATCGGATCTGCTGACGAAAAAAAAAAGAGTCGACTTTGTTTCTTCAATTGTTTCTTCCTCGCGTGTACTGTGTTATCTTAGGATTAGCTTCGGTCTATAATAGATGTAGTAACCCCTTAGCCTTTTGATCTAAGCTCCGAGTTGTGTTAATTTGCTCCAAGCTCTAAATTTCGCAGTTGGAATCTAACCAACTTGGAGCTTACGACTTAAGATAGCATCGGGTTTGCCGAAAAAAAAACAAAAAAATGTTAGGGCAAGGTGATACGATTCTGAACAAAATATAACATTTGAATCCAATTTTCGAGGATTCAAGTATGGTAATCCTTTCATTGTGTGGGGGATACCGAAAGATATCAAATGGAAAGAAATAAAACTTGAACTTTGAAAATGGGATTCAAATTTTATTTCGTTTAAAATTGTTCGAAATTGTAGCGTGAAAAGCTCTGCAACCGAATTCACCTAAAAATACGGGAAATTTTCAAGTATCGATAACAATCTGTTATAAAGTGCAAATCTAAACATTTTATTCGGAGGAATAATTATCGGTTTCCATAAATTACAGGTGACAGGATGTGATAACGTGCGCAGGTGATAGGATGCCGATAACGTACGCGGCTAAAAATAAATCGATACCCGATCTCCGGCGACTTTGGTATTCGTTCATTCATATCTGCAAGTGATTCGACACCGGTACGCGGTGTTCGCCCTCGCACCTTGTTTTTCTCTTTCGATCTGCTAATTGTCGTTAGCGACGCTATTCTACGTTGGATAAATAGATGTGCATACGCAGGTACATCGTATACGCGGTTGGCGCGTGTCGTCGATCCTCATGCGTTCGAGACACGCCGCGTAATTCGTAAACGTATGTATACGATCGGTAAACAATGAAACTAGACGCGGATCGATGGGAGATCTCGATCGAATCGCAGGGCACTGCTCCTTTTTACCGCGCAGATCCTTTTTTACAAGGAGAGAGAAAAAAAAAGAAAGGACATCGCACGAAGGATTTTCACGCGTCGGTGAGGAGGGACCTTCGCGAACGCGGAAAAGTACGGCCGGCGCCGAAATAGTCGCGCGGCGTAGCCGC